CATTCTTGAGGGGCATGGATGATCCTTGTTCCGGACTTGAGACTTTTATTAACTGAATCTAAGATGGCATTCGCTTTTGTTTATGGCTGTCTTCTTTCTCTGTTGACTCAGATGCATTTTACCATCAATAAAAAGCCCACGTCTTTCTCCTGGGTTGCCCATGGAGCCACTTTTTCTGTGTTCCCTGTTCAGACAGGCTATGATCTGTTCTCAAGTCTGGGACGCAACCTTTGTCTATGCATCTTCCTCTTTTAAGACATGTACACAGCCTGGTCTGGCTCCACCCCTTTGCATCTGGATTCCATTTGGCTGAAGCATCCTCCCTCTTCTTCTCTTCTTTCCCTCCATTATCCTCCTTGTGCGGCCAAGTCCATAATGCAGAAGTGCAGCGGGCTGGGGCTCGGGTGCACCATGAATAAGTGAGAAAATCGAGGCCTGGGGGTGGGGTGGGGTGGTGGATGGATGCACTCTGGTTCTTCGGGGTGAACTTGCTAGGAGCTAGGGGGGAAGGGGGATGTGTTGGACCAGGGCCATAGTGGGAAGCCTGGGGTAACCCACAGGGTAGGCTGGGCCCAGGACTTCCAGTGTTCAGGGACACACGGGCCTGAATGACAGCTTCTCTCCCCAGCCACTAGACATTCCGTAGCCTGTCATTTGAGATGCTTTCCTCTGACTCAGTGTTTTCATTCATCACAAAGAGAGGTGCTCCATGAACACGTAAAGTGCTGACTCCAGAGTCTGGGGACTGGGGTGTTGTTGTTGGCGTTGTCAAGTCAGGACCGACTCCTCGGTGCTGTCCTGTGTTAGCCTCACAATTGTGCTTATGTCTGAGCCCATTGTGTGCAGCCACTGTGTCAATCCATCCCACCCAGGGCCCTCCTCGTCTTTGCTGACCCTCTAGTTCACCAAGGACCCACACAGATGGGGGCCAGGAGGCCAAGGCAGATTTTGCAGAACCCAGTTTGACCCATAGAGCGGGTGCTCTCCTAGTACAGACACAAAAATCCTCGATGAAGGGGATTTCTTGATGAAGAATGCCATGGCGAGAGGCGCTTTGAGACCTTCTTGCCTCCAAGAGTTTATGGGATCCGTGTCTGGGGAGCGCGTCACAGCCACCATGCAGATTTGCATAGGCTGGGCAGAGTGGTCCACCTCTGTCCTCTCAACAGCCTCACCCGGGCATAGGGTACCACCCCCGCCCCATAGCAGGTGGGAAGACTACACCTTGGAAGCCTTAAGAGGCAACTTCAAGGTCAAGCAGCTAGTTAAAGAAAACCTAGCCCCTCACTGCTGAGTCGCTTCAGACCCAGGACGATTGCCCATGTACAGAGGAGAGCTGCTCCGTAGGGTTTTCTCGGCTGCAAGAAAACCAGAATTCGTCCTTAGTGCCGCTGACCTTTAGGAGAGCCGCCATCTGCAAACCATTTGTACCACCAGGGCCTTATATATTCACGTGGGGATCAGTCCTCATCACTGGCTTTAAATATCACAACTTCTGTGAATCCGCGTCCTGTTCCTGAGGGAGCATCTGAGCCAGCCAGCCTCCTTTTAGCTCAAAAGGCCACCTAAGATTTCTGAGCCATGGTCATGGCCACCCAGTGTTTCTTGACATTGGCTGAACACAACAGCCTCTCCCCGAGAGACAGGAAGCGGGGCAGACAGATAATTTCCTTTTATTGGGGAGGCAGTTTGAATTAAAGCTAGATGAAGCACACGTGAAAGGGTTAACAAAGGGATTGGTGGGGGGGGGTCATAGTGGGTGGGTAGGGAGGGGTGGGGTGGGTGGAGCAGGGAGAGGAAAAGCTAAGCTTCTCTCTGGTCTTCCCTCACATCAGCAGCTTGCCCCCCTCCCCTGGCGGCTGCTGCATTAATTCCTTAGCATCTTCCCTGGAGGGTAGGTGCTATTCATTTGTTCTGTGTCTCCTAGGGAAGTCGTGTTCAAGCAGCATGCTTAGGGACTATGAGGGACAGAGCTGGAGAGATACCGCTCCTGCCTTAAGGAGCTTGCAGGGCTCGCTGAGCAGTCAGTGAGGCACATGGGACCCCAACAAAGGCCATCCCAGGTGGCCGCAGCCTGGGGAAGGATGGAGGGCTGGGAGAACCCCCTGCACGTGCAGGCTGCTCATTCTGACTCATAGCATCTGACGCACTTGAACCCTAAATGGTTTGGATGAGCGGGCAGGGCAGAGAGCACTCTGGGCCAGGGGCCTGCTTGAGCAAAGACCAAGAGTGGGCAGGTCTGATGAAAAGCCCAGGCACTATCAGGAGTGTAAGCTGGCCCTGTAGGGGTGGGGCTCAAAGCCAAGCCCAGTGCTTGGCACTGAAAGTTGGCACCGGCTGCAGTAGGTGCAAGTACCCTGACTCACCAGTGTTCTCTCCCTTCGCAGGGGCCATGCCACTGAAACATTACCTCCTCTTGCTGGTGGGCTGTCACACCTGGAGCGCAGGCCTGGCCTACTATGGCTGCCCTACTGAGTGCACCTGTTCCCGGGCCTCCCAGGTGGAGTGCACTGGGGCGCGCATCGTGGCCATGCCCACGCCCCTGCCCTGGAACGCCATGAGCCTGCAGGTCCTCAACACACACATCACCGAGCTCAGCGATTCCCCTTTCCTCAATGTCTCAGCCCTCATCGCCCTGAGGATTGAGAAGAACGAGCTGTCTCACATCGTGCCCGGAGCCTTCCGCAACCTGGGCTCCCTGCGTTACCTCAGTCTCGCCAACAACAAGCTTCAGATTCTGCCTGTTGGCTTGTTCCAGGGGTTGGACAACCTGGAGTCACTCCTCCTGTCCAGCAACCAGCTGGTGCAGATCCAGCCCGCCCACTTCTCCCCATGCGGCAACCTCAAGGAATTGCAGTTGCATGGCAACCACCTGGAGTACATCCCCGATGGGGTCTTTGACCACCTGGTGGGCCTCACCAAGCTCAATCTGGGCAAGAACAGCCTCACCCACCTCTCCCCCCGGGTCTTCCAGCGTCTGGGCAACCTCCAGGTCCTCCGGCTTTTTGAGAACAGGCTCTCTGACATCCCCATGGGCACTTTCGATGGGCTTGGCAACCTGCAGGAACTGGCCCTCCAGCAAAACCAGATTGGTACCCTCTCCCCAGGCCTCTTCCACAACAATCATAACCTCCAGAGACTCTACCTGTCCAACAACCACATCTCCCAGCTGCCCCCTGGCATCTTCATGCAGCTGCCCCAGCTCAACCGCCTGACGCTCTTTGGGAATAATCTGAAGGAACTCTCCCCAGGGATCTTTGGGCCCATGCACAACCTGCGGGAGCTCTGGCTCTATGACAACCACATCACGTCCCTTCCCGACAACGTCTTCAGCAGCCTCGGCCAGCTGCAGGTCCTGATTTTAAGCCGCAACCAGATCAGCACAATCTCCCCCGGGGCCTTTAACGGGCTCACGGAGCTACGGGAGCTGTCGCTCCACACCAACGCCCTGCAGGACTTGGATGGAAGTGTCTTCCGCATGCTGGTCAACCTGCAGAACATCTCCCTGCAGAACAACCGCCTCCGGCTGCTCCCTGGAAATATTTTTGCCAATGTCAACGGCCTCATGACCATCCAGCTGCAGAACAACCAGCTGGAGAACCTGCCCATGGGCATCTTCGACCACCTGGGGAACCTGTGCGAGCTTCGGCTCTATGACAACCCCTGGAGGTGTGACACGGAGATCCTGCCCCTCCGCAACTGGCTCCTGCTCAACAGGCCCCGGTTGGGCACGGATGCCCTCCCGGTGTGTTTCAGCCCAGCCAACGTCCGAGGTCAGTCACTTGTCATCATTAATATCAATGTCCCAGTCCCCAGCGTCCAGGTCCCGGAGGTGCCCAGCTATCCAGAAACACCACAGTATCCAGACACATCCAGTTATCCGGACACCACCTCCATCTCCTACACCACCGAGTACACCACCTCTGTGGAGGACTACACGGACTTGACCACCATCCAGATAACCGACGAGCGCAACACGTGGGGCATGACCCGTGCCCAGAGTGGGCTGGCCATCGCCGCCATCGTCATCGGCATCATTGCCCTGGCCTCCTCCATCGCCGCCTGCATCTGCTGCTGCTGCTGTAAGAAGAGGAACCACACGGTCCTGATGCAAATGAAGGCGCCCAACGAGTGTTAACGAGGCCACGTGGGTGTGTGGCCGGGCCTGCTGGGGTTGACCATCCTAAAATAAGGCAGCTGGGCATTCCAACACGGGGCCTCCAACATCTGGGTCCCTAGAGCCATCCCTGATCCTTCTCCTAGAAAGAAAGGTGCCCCCCCATTGTCTGACCTGCCCAAGTCTCCCGTAGAGAAGTAGGGCTCACCGGGCCTGCTTACCACCAGGGAGATCCAACCGGTGAAGGCAAAACCCAGGAGGCATTTCTGCCTCACAACCGCGGCCTTCCTTTACAAAGGCTCCGGCTCCAGCCCTCGCCATGTCTTTCTACCCCAAGAACAGCCTTCCCAGCCCATGCCCGCTCCGGTCTCCATAGACTCCTCTCCTCCAAAGCCTGCTTATCTTGTGGGAACAGTTCTCCACCCGGGACAGCCCTTTCCTCAAAGCTTTCCGTAGTTCGTATGTTGATTCTGCTCCTCTGGCTGCTCTTCTCTCCTGAGCCGTGTCATCGAATGAAGCATCCCTTCCCCCGTCCCCCAAATGATTTTCTGCTTGTGAAGGCAGGCAGGGCGAGTTCTCTCCTCCAAGAAGGACTCCCACCACTGAGCTGGTTTCTGAAGAGTTCTGAAAGGCCCGCGCTTGCAGGGTGCTGGGCAGGAGGCGGCAATCGAGGCCTCTGTGTGCCTGCAGGGTGGCCACCAGCAGTGTCTCTCTGGGGCCGTTTACCTGGAATGGAAGAAAGGCACCTTTAGGAGAGGATGTTTCTGAACCACAGCTTAGCTTGGAAACATGTAGCCCTTTAGGGAACCCAAGTGTGGGGTGTTTCTGAAGGTGTGAAACCCGGTATGTCGGTACTGGATGGGGAGAGGAAGCTGGTACCTGGAACCTAAGAGCCTTTGGGCTCACCCCTCGGGCTTCTCTTTTCCACTTTTTATTAGGGTGCACCCCACATAGAGAACAGTGGGCACGGGAGAATGGGCTGCTTTATGAACTTCCACAAACTGGACACCCATGAAGCCAGCTTCCTGGTGAAGAAGCAGGGAATCACTGTGGTCCCCAGGGAGCTCTATCCTGGAGGATAGAGGGCCCGGGGGTGGCATGGCCTCCCCTGGAAGTCAGCGCCCCAGGAGTCTGGGCTGGCTCCTCAGCAGCACGGGAGAAGATGTGGGTATGTGCTGAGTTGGCCTGGTTGGCCCGGCCTGAGGATCAGCGTGGACTAGAGTCGGGCTCTAATGGTTTCCGTGCTGACTGTTCGGAAGTAGATTGCCAGTCCTTTCTTCCAAGACCATTCCAGGTGGATGCAAACCTCCGACCATAGTGAGCAGCCAAGCTTGTCAACCGTTGGCAGCGCCCAGGGACACCTGGCTTGGAGACAAGCGTTTATTAAATCCAGAGACGAGGCCAGAGGCATCTGACTCCCGAGACCCACGCAACCACACATCCTTGCCTGCCAACGTCTGCGACTCACTGGAGTCCCCACCGCCCAGGCCTTTTATGGGCATGATATGCTTGTATCTGTTTTTAATTTCCCTTCTCCATTTGGGGGAAGCAAAATAGCTCAGAGATGAGATCCTTCCATTGAACAGCTAAGTGTCATGGGACCCAGCGATGCCTCTTAACACCGAGGTCCAATTCTCCGTCAGCATATTAAACAAGCTAGTGACCGGCTCTCGGGATGTTCACACACAGGAGGCAGGCTGCATCAGGACATGCACTGTTCACACTCAGGCACCAGGCCTGGGGGTTCTTGAGCGCCCCCTGCCTGTGATCTGGTCACACGAGTTGAGATGATTACTCCAAGGTTAAAGTCAGGCGCAGAGTGGATCCCGGCTCCAGGACTCCATATGGCCGCGGCCTTTCTTCTGAGGTGCCTCTGGATGGACTTGGACCTCCAGTGACTGGATATATTCCTCTTTGGTACTAGCCAGGAACTCCCTGGCCCAGGATTAGTCTCCTCCCGTTACAGGCACATGTCACCGGTGGCCCTCGCCTCCCTTCCTGCCACACCTGCGTTCTCGCTGTTAAAGAAATTATGCTCGTGGCAACAAATGAGTCCACCAGCCTGGAAGTCATGGAAATCAGACAGGCTGGAACAGGACTTTGCTTCGGACTCTGTGTCTGCCCAGGGAAGAGCTCCAGTCGGCGCAGCAGGGATTTAGAACCCCACCTGGTCCCGATGGGCTCCTGGGTGGTCCCTCTTCCCGACAGGACACAGGAGGAGCCTCCAGGGCCTTGGCAGCATAATGCTGAGAGGATGGCCTGTCTTCCTCTCTAGACACGCTCATCCCCCTCAGAGAAGCCAGGAGGGGCATGTGTAAGCACCAGGGCACTTTGTAGTTCTTCACTCTCTGTCCCAGGGACTCAGGGAGAGATGGGGACCGTCACAGTCTAAGGTGACACCCTCAGGCAAAACAGGGTCTCCAAAGTGTCCTTACAAATATTGGTAGCAACGTGGTGGGCATGCGGAGGCTTGCCGGAGCCCAAAGGGAAGCGAGCCCAGGGCAAGCGCCCGAGTCTCAGTCCACAGAGCGCGCCGGGGACCCCGGGCCCTCAAGGGCAAGCTCAGGTGCCTCTCCCTGAGGTGCGTCTCCTCCACGCAGGAGGCATGGATTGGCCCCCTATTCTTCATGCCTAGAACGTCTTACTCTGCAAAGCCACCAGGGGCCAGAGATGGCAGGACAGGGAGGAGGGAAGCCCCTTTGCCCAGGGCGTCCTGCCCAGGTCAGCCCAGAAGCTCTGAGTATTTCCAGCGCCGACCATGGCATTGGTGTCTCTTCTTCTCTGGCCCAGGTTTTCAACATGTGTCCCCAGGTCAAAGGCGGCGTGAGGAACAGGCACCCTTGGTGGATCCCACCCCGGGACCCCAGGGGAGAGGCGGTGAGCCCTTTCCTAGGCCTCCTGGGCTTGCCTGTTCCTTTCCCTTCAGAATGGACTGGAGGGCCACGTCGGCGGCCAGGAGTGGAGAGAGGCTGGGTAGAACCTTCTGGCCAACAGATGGTACACACACCCCTCACCTGGGGGCTGGGAATCAGCCAGTGGGACGCAGAATGGATTGGGTAAACTACAGAGTTCCATTCACTTCCCCCTCCCCTGGCTGCCATGCCATGCCATGCCGCTGTCCATCTGGAGTGGGGTCAGAGTGGAGGACAGACTTTGAACAAGACCTGGTGGCCTGTCTTACGCTTTTATCATTAAAACACAGAGATTGTGGGGCCACACTCCTGTTTCTCCCCGTATCTCAGCCCCGGAAACCTTACGTGTACTATATGGACCCCAAACTTCGTAAAGAAAAGGGAAAACAACAGCTCGCCCACGCATTACAGGAAGACGACCCATCTCAAGGAAAGGGTGGGGCCTGTACGCAAACCTCAGCTTTGGGACTTAGGAGCACCACAAGGTTCTCGAAGCTTCCTGGTTCCTTTCAAGGGCAACAGAGCCCTTTTTGCGGCCCCGAGGAAGCCAGCACAGAGCAGTGCCAGGCGTCAGCTTCCACCAGGGCAGCTCGCCACGGAGTTGCCCAAAGACCTTGCTTGTGTGCAGCCTCCCCAGGAGCTCCGAGCCACTCAAAGAGCTCAGCCTGCAGGTCTCACAGCCAGAACCACGTCCAGGGAGCCAGGGCAAACATCGTCGTCGGTGGTGGTCGTGGGAAGGAAGTGTCCCTGTGGTTCAGAGGGGGCGGGCCAGCAGGCCCCTCCTGGCGGATGCTCTGCCCAGTTGGCGGCTCCTTCACCTCTGAAGGAGAGATGGCTCTCCCAGCGTGTTGTCTTCACACTGCCTTCAACAGTAGATCTTGTTTGCCTCGCTTAGAGAATCGCTGCAAAAAGTCCCAGGGGCTTGGTGGTGTGCTTCGAGGCTTCCAGGTGCCTGGTGGGGGGGTTTGCCTGAGGGTGAGCCCTGCTGGGCAAGATGGGCCTCGGCTTGTAGCTGGCTTGCTGTTCACAATCAATAATAAATCGTAGACACCGGACTCGATGCGTGAGTGCTCTGCTGACGGCTGGCCTGGGGAAGCGGGGTGGGGGCTCACACTCCCGTGACCGCTCGTGCCCCACAGGTGCACACGGCTGACTTGGGCACAGCCTCTCAGGCAGAAGATTCTAGGCTGAGGAAAGGCCCTTGGGAAGGGAGTCACAAGTACCATCTGTAGACCATGGTGGCTGGAAGAGGCCATGGGATCAAGACAGGAGCGCATTAATGTCCCCCAGTCACAGAGTGAGCTGCTGGCTGAACTGCAGCGGTGGTCACAGACTCCAGGCTGGAGTCACCTCTCTGCCCCCAGAAACAGGATAAGCGTTTATTCGACTTTCATTCAGTACACCCACGCGTATGTCACCTACCCCCAGCCCCGCTCCCAGGTCCATCTGTCTCCGAAGTGCCTTCTGAGGACCTGCAGCAGCACGGCGGTGGATGGGGACCCAGCCTTGCCAAGCCCAAAGGAAGGGGATGAGAGTTCACAGGGGTGCCATCCTTCTTTTGACCTTGTTCTGGGGTCTGGGGGTGCAGGGATGGGGGAATTCATGGCCTCCTCTCCTCCAGACAGAAGGAATGTTCGTTTTTATAGCTGGATTATTCTGCTGCTCGGGATGGGGCCGTGGGCACAGACCGACAGACAGACAGACACACCCACGTGTGCACACCACAGGACGTGCTTGGCAGGCCTCCCCTGCTCATCTCTGGACTCTGCTCAGCACTTGACATTGGCCTGGGTGATGGCTGGGCCCTTAGGAAGCTCCTTCTGAGTAAAGATGGCTCCCCCAGGAGGGCAGGTGGCCCAGGAACCCTCTCCGGGCTGTGGGGGCTGCTGGAGCAGCTCCAGTGGTTAAGAGACGGAAGCGCGGCTGTCCCTTTATCCCACCGCGCTGCCCGGCCTGGCCCTCCGGCTCCTTGAGCTTCCAGGTGCGCTCCATGATGTCCTCCTCCACGTGTGGCCAGAGCCCTGCAGGGACCGGAGCAGAGCCAAGTGCCCTGCCCTTCCATACCAATCAGTCAGGCATCTGGAATTGGGGGCCAGGAGGAAAGGGGTTCAGGTCTTCAGCCCTCACCTCCTCGAAGACACCTGAAGTCCTTAAGGCAAGTTTCCCTCCACGTGTGCACACATCCACACAAGCACTTCTCTCACACACGCTGTGCCTCCCAGGCCCTCTGCTGCACCCCTCCTCAGATGAGAATGCACAGACCTGCAGGCATTAAGAACTTGCCCCAAGAGCCAGGATTCGAACCTAATCTGTTTAATGCCCTAACTAAAAACCAAACTCACTGCCATCGAGTTGACCCTGACTCATAGCAACTCTATAGGACAGAGGAGAGCTGCCTTTTTTGGTTTCCAAGACATTAATTCTTTATGGGGCAGACAGACTCATCTTTCTCCCAAGGAGTGGGCTGGTGGGTTTGAACCACTGATCTTGTGGTTAGCAGCCGACGATACCACCAGGGTTCCTCTGCCAGAATTCTCTTATTCAATGACACGTGAGCAACACACAAACTACCCCTCTAGAGGCGGTGAGGCAAGGCCTGGGCATAACAGCCCACTTGGGACTTTCTAAAGCCTGGGAGAAGCTCTTGGGGTCCTAAAGGTGCCATGACCCTTAGCTCTTAGGGGACTTGGGGGCCAGGTTTGGGGTATTCAGAAGGTGTCATCGTGGCGTAGGTGTCCGGCTGCTGCTAACTGTACTGTCGGCAGTTCAAGCCCAACCTGCCGCTCTGTGGGAGAACGACGGGGCTGTCTGCTCCGTGGGGCAGTTCAGGGTCATTTTGTAATCATTGGAGGCCTGTCCCCGATTCTCTCCCCTGCCCCATGACCCTGGTGACATTCCGGGAACGCTCCGGCCACGAGGCGTGGAACAGCCAGCAGACCTTTGATCTGCAGTGTGGCTGGTTCTGGCTGGTTTCAGAGTGCACAGCCCCTCTGCTCCCCAGAGAGAGCCAGCGCCCGCACCTGCCTACTCAGCCCCTCACGGTAGGTCTCCTGGGGTCACCGTAGGGGGTCTGGGTCCTGGGTGCGTGTGGGAGACTGCCCTGCAGACTCAGCTGGGGGCAAGAGGCTGCGCTCAGCTCCCGGTGAGCCACAGTATCCATGCCCCCTCCTCTCTAAGGAGCAGCCCCAGAGGTGGGCAGCCAGGCTGCCACGGGGGAAAGGCCAGGAGGAAGGCACTGGGCTCCGAGATGGAGGGGCCTCTATCCCTACATCAAGAGCCCAGGTCCAGTGAGTGACGGGTCAACCTGGAGGCCCTGTGTCCATGTGTGCCTGGTTCCAGCCTGGTTTGCATTTGCCATTCTGAGTTATCAGTAGCCCCCCTTTCACCCACAGAAAAGTGATGGGTATTTATGATAAGAAACGTGGGAACAAAAGGGGGGAGGGGGAACATCCCACAACCAGAGCTCACCGCTGCAAACATTTTGTGTACAGTCTCCGATTATGCTCTCTATGCATGAATATGGAGTCGGGCGGTGTAACGGTTACGCCTTGGGCTGCAACCAGACAGGTCGGTAGTTTGAAAATACCAGCGGCTCCTCGGGAGAAAGCTGAGGCTCTACTCCCCCAGAGAGTGAGTCTCAGGAACCCACCGGGGCAGTGCTGCCCTGTCCTGGAGGGTCACCAGGCGACGAGTTTATGCACAAATGTACCCTCAACAACAGAAACCGAGCCTTTGGTGACACCGTAGTTTACATACTATAGGGCTAATATCTTGTGAGTGACACCGATCTACACTATCATGTGAAAGGCAGCAAAGAGAGTACTTGATTCACTGAACCAGCTCCTGTTCACCGGGCCCATGTGGCCGTTTTCCTTTAGGCCCGTGCCCTTGTTCTGCTCTACGTGGGATGGCTGTGGGATCTACATAGGATATACTACATGGGATTCTGTTCCACATGG